ATCTGCAGCCAATCACAGTTCACTTCCTGACAATGTCCCCACATCACTACCCCTCTACCACCATGCTATGCAGTGTTTATGCTAATAAGCTGTGTTTATTTATATTTTAGATGACTGACAATAGGCTATAATTGCTTAACATCTTTAAAAACGTCATCCTTAAAGTGTAACTAAATCTGGTGTAAAAGCGTAACCCCACCCTCTCAGACTAATTTAGAAAAAGAACACCAAAATGGACAGTAGAGGTCAGAAACTTTACACAAAATGTCAACATTTGCACAGTGACATAAAGGTATACAGTTTATCTGTAAAACAAATGTTGATTTAGGGTTTAGTAAGCTTTTAAATTACATGACAATGCTTTCAGACAAATAGGAAGTAATAAACTGCTGCTATAGATTTTTTTTAGCAACAATATAGTTTTATTAGTGTGTATAAAGTGCCATACGGATGTCTCCTCCCTTTAGACCCAGGACACCTTGGATTGGACAAGTGACCTTCCACAGGAGGAAACGGGAGCATTAGCAGGGAAACTTTCACTCCGTTTATTTTCTTCTGAGCCTTGAACAGGGTGGAGTATCCGTTTTTGCCACCGAGGATTAACTTCTAACTCCACATGTGCGTCCTTCCTGCTGTTTTTTCCATAAAGATTGCTGGATACAGTTGAGGAGGCGGATAACTTCACCGAGCGCTTCCCTGATGGCTGACAGCACGCTGATGGAATACAGTTGTAAAATCTGTTGAGCTTCGGGTCATCAGCATTAGACTGCTGAGAGCTTGTCGGCAGCTCTGAGAGCTCTCTCTGGTCTGGAGATGAAGACGTTACGTTTTTGCTGTGTGAAGAAAAATTATGATTTGGTCTTACAATAAATCAGATGTTATTTGTCCAAAGGTTATGAAAGCTGCTGATTTAAAACCAAGAGTTCTGTAAAGTAAAACTATCAAAGAGTAAAGCATGTTAATACTGCAGTATTTTCTGTTTTTGACAATTTTGACCCCAATTATTACATAAGGAAGTGGAGTTAGGAGGCTTATTGTATCATTTTACATCATCATAATGAATTTCTATTTATATGAATTTTGATTTATTGTTTAAAAAGATTAGAAACAATGATTATTAAAAACTCAAAAAAAATTCAGAGAATTTTTATTTTTTTGTTTTTATTTTATTTTATTTTTCAGTGAGAGCTTTGGAAAGTCTGAAGAATTTTAAATGTGGTTCCTACGGGATGTTTAGTGATATAAATCCCACTTCTTTATATTATGGTGTCCTATTTTAAATATGTGTATTTTTAATTGTAGAGTTTTTCATCGTTGGGATAGGATTCCTGTGGCATACAGTCATAGCCATACAGATACTTTAGAAAGACTGTTAATTGTCACTTTTATTGTTATCATTACAAACTATCATGATAGGATTTTATGTCCATATGGCCCAGCCTTATAAGGAACTACCATCAGCATTTATTCCACTCTGGTATTATCCAGAGCAGCTATGTTCATGTTAATGCCATTTGGTTATTTTCAAATGAATTTGGAAATCAGAATTTTCTGCTCCCCAGTGTGGAAAATAGAATTTAATATTTCAGAAAGTTAGAGATTCTTCTACAATCATG